TACAGAAAGCCAATGCAAGGATTGTCAGAGGGGTTAGGAATGAGAGGAGCGACAGTAGAGAAAAATCAGCCTGGCTGTAGCATTTATTACAGATTGTAGTGGGCAGTACGGCTTCTGGGTAGATCAATTAGGAGAGAATTACATTAATCCATGCGAATAATTACAAGAACAAAATGATATAACCAAATATTTGTAATGGTAAAGCAGATTTGAAAAAACAATGCTGCTTTTGATCATATGGTTCAATATGATGGTTCTAGAAACCTCAGATGGCACTATTTCCTGTAACACACACTTCATCATCATTTTAGATTATCTTCATTCCCTCGCTTTCTCTTTTGCATATGTAAAGGAGATATATATATATATATATATGTGTGTGTGTGTGTGTGTGTGTGTGTGTGTATGTAACAGCACTTGATAACTAATGCGCATGTCCATAATAAGAGTACTGACCAGGCCTGAGCTCAGCCATATTCTAAGGTGAACCAGGTATCAGAATATCAAGATTGTGCAAAGGGATAAATAAAAAGTCAAAACCATTATGTGTATTTTAAAACTAATGCACTGATAACATAGGGACCAATTGCATTGGCATAATAATTCATGAAAGTTTGCTTGCTAACCACAAGCAGCCAAAACTAAAAGATAAATGTGCAAAACATATATTGTTATTTCGTTAATGTAAGGCCCTAGCAGAGAACACATTGAACACTTTTTCAATGAATACATCAAAACGTTGCTTATATAAATGCACTGTGTAAGGCTGTACTGGGTAAAACGAAGGCCATACACTGCCATCTACACTATGCTCGATCGGAGCCTGTTACATATTAAAAACTGTTTCTGGTTAAAATGGAGATATAGGAGAATCCTATTCAAGAAAGTTGAGAGTTCCATTTGGTTTGGTTGCTCATAGATGACAAATAAAACCTGAATAAAATAAACCGGGTGTGTAAAAGCCATACTGAAGTAAAACCTTCTATTTACTAAAGACAAGTTGAATGCAGTGTCACCCATCACAGCAGACAGTGCTCCGGTTAGCTCTAGTTTGGAGCAATGACTAGCTATTGCAAGTAAAACAAGTTGGATACTAATCAAACGCTGACTTTCCTCACTATTGAACATCTTTAATGAAAAAGACTGCAAACTGTATTACAATGATAATGCAAAATAAATAAAAGCCTCTCCATTCCTAAAATTTGATTCAAAATGTGGAGACCAAAAAGATTTCCGAAGACCTACGGACCCCCTTCCACATGGTGGGACTAGCAAACGATCATATACTATTCCAAAAACCCATTTGCAGAAGGCAAATAAATAAATATTTCAAGGCTAACAGACTATATCAGATGCATCTTGTGGTAAAGGAATGAAGCAAGTGATCGGCTGTGCTGTTCCAGCCAATCAAATTGCTCTTAAGCATTAAAACGGAAGAGCTCAATTCAGACATAGGCATATATACAGTCTCCAGGATAGAGACTTAATTTTATGTATTTTTTTGGGATACTTATTTTTAAAGGATAGGATATATAAAAGAGATTATTTTTTTTTCACCCCTCCTGGTGGTGTATTTATTCCTCATTCTCGGGTCCTCTACCAGATGTCTCTACCAGAGGCCTAGGAGTCGGAGGGTTCTGCACAGTATCTTAGCTGTTCATAGAAATATATGTTCGAAAAAACCTTGTATTTGCTGCTAAATTAGAAAAATTCTCCAATTCTATTTTTTTTCCACTTTGGCTAGTTTGGCCTGCATTTTTTGTAGTTTGGGTGTCCGTTTCATAGCAAATAACTATTTCATGATTTTCTGTCGTTCACTAAATTGAAATTGTGCAGAGCTGACAGACAAATGCTATGTAAAGATCTAGGAAATGTGTCCCGCTGAGCTATTTTCTGGGCATTTTGCAGTTTATTGACTATAGTGTTTATTACTGTGATGTCTACTAATAATAAAGACAATAAATAAGAAAATAAAAACAAGTTACTCTTTCCTCGCGTTTTTGTGTTGCACTGTGGTAATGAGGATTTTAAAGGAGATGGTGTAAAAGACAGTTTAGGGTTTTAAAAAAAAAAAAAAAAAGTTATAGAGTTATTAATTAAAATGTGAAATCCCATTAATTGATGAGGGGATTGCAAGTTAAAGGCCAAAACAGGAAACCTGGAAAAAAGACGCGATGGAGAATATTTCCGATTATGCTATTTTGCCCAAAAGAGTGCAATTTCTAATCAATTCCTTAGCAAATGATCACATTAGAGTAAATTAACATTATTTGTGGTTATTCACTAAGCTGCAAATTTTGGAGAATACATAAGGAAATTGCATTTTTGGAAAATAGCAAAGTTTAGTTTTTTCACCCCATTCAGCTTTTTTTCCAAACACAATGCAATTCTCTTGTTTATTTTTCCACAGTTCCTGTTTGAGTGAATATACTTTTACATGTGGCTCTATAGTGATTAATACAAAGAAAAAAATATGAACAAAAAGAAATGGTCTAACTCTCTTGTAAGATAGCACAGTGATAAATGCACTCCTTTTAGTATCTATTGCATATTCCGATTTTATTTCCAAGCAGGATCATTTCAATATTTCATCCATCTAAACGTGATAGCCTAAGTACCTTTATATTTTGTAATATTAACATTAAACCCCCTATATGTAATTGAAAATTAAAAACCTAATTGCACACTTCCTTGTTACATAATGTGATGTTAACTTATTATAGATC